CAGTTCGCAGCTGTCCGGATTGCGTTCTTAATCGTCTAGACAAAAGCTCGGACGGCGTTTCTTCAGTTTATAGCCCCAGAAATTCACCAAAGCATCACCTAATGCCAACGCCGGGGAACCAGATGGCCGAGTAATCATTACATTCGATTCCACCACGTGTGATGAAATTTCAGCAGGTTACGGCCTGCACGTTGAACAATTAACGTACAAGCGGGCAATTATCCACGGTTGGATAGTCGTTGATTGTCATAAGTGTGCAGTATCATAGTGACTGCATTCTATAAATACTGCAAATCCCTGTGCATGAATTACCCGTTTCTGCTACTGCTTATGCTAATATCTCTGCCGAAAAATCCGGGACGAACTTCGAACCGTAAGACGGATAAAAGTCTTGTCGCAGTGATCACACCTTCGTCTTCTTAAGGATCAGTGTGTCTCGGGACTGTTTCACGCCAATTTTTTCCTAAAGAAGTGCTGATCTACCTTCAGGTTTACCAATATCTTCCATATTCTTTTTGTTCCCTACATCAATCCATTGTGGCAATTGCATATTTCTGCCCCTTCCCAATGGCCGTGGAGTACTTTGTAACGACTAATCTGTGTTTGTGCTCTATTATCCTATTTCAGAAGGATATATAGACGATTCTGTTGGATGTTGAAGTCTTAGCGCTGAGTAGTCGATAATCGTAAATATTGACAGTATAGACAATGAGGCCGTAATGTCCATTCCCAGCACGGTTGTAGTTGCCAGCTAGCGAAAGGGATCGTTATTAACAAACAGAGGAAGCATCTGCAATTACTATTATTGAGTCACGACAGAATGGAGTGACAAATTCAGACTTACAGTGGATTGCCTATCTGGTGACATCTAAGGATTTTTAAAAAGAAACCTCTGTTACGGAAAAGTACCCCACGTTGCGTCCTCTAAAGTCTTACAGCAGTAAATCAATGGTCGTTCTTCAAAATAGAGCATATTCTGATTTATCAATTAGGTGAGTAACAGGTGGTTAGGACCAGTCAACTCCTATTACTGCAGGATAAAAAAGTACGAAGACAGATTACGATAAAAAGAGCAGTTGCCTTTAGCTTTGGTAGTCTTTACA